CACTCTGTCAATCCATCTGGTTGGAGGTCTTCCTTTCCTTCACCAACGCTCCCTTTTCCAAGCATGATGTCCCTATCTAAGAAAGAGCCTCTTCAAGCAACTATGAGATATCATCTCAACCCAGTAAGAATAGCAAAATTTAATAGAACAGCAAATAACAAATACTGGTGAGGTTGTAGAGAAACTGGAACCTTATTCACTATTGGTGTGAGTGTAAAATGATGCAACCACTATGGAAGGCAGTATGGTGGTGCTTTCTCAAAAAGTTGCAAATAGAAATACCCTTTGGCCCAGCAACTACACTACTGGGACTATACCCCAAAGAAACCATAACTGCCACCCAAGCAGTACATGTACACCCATGTTTATTGAGGCTTTGTTCACAATAGCAAAGAGTTGGAAATAACCTAAGTTCCCATCAACAAATGAGTAGATAGAGAAGCTGTGGTATATTCACACAATGGAATTCTATGCTGCATTGAAAAACAAGGAACTCATGAAATATTATACAAAATGGGTGACCCTGGAGAACATTATTGCTGAGTAAAATATCTCAGTGACAAAGGACAAATACTGCATCATTCCACTGTTGTAAATGGGACTGACATAAGGGCGGGGGGGAGACTGAGAAAGATGGGATACATTATGTATACTGCATTGAAACAGATGAGGGAGAGAACTGTTTAAAAGGGATATATAATTAGGTATTATTGTCATGACAGGAGTCTAGAATGAAGGCTGCATAGTGGAGTGGACGTGGGGGGAGGGATTGTATGACAAAGAAAGAATTTTTGTTTTTCAAAGAGAAGAACGAACTGTGGAGGGGAGAGGGGTTGGACAGGGAGAAAAGCACAACAGTAAATGAGTTGAAATCCAAAATCTCAGTAAACTTTCATTAAAATTAATAATAAAAAGAGAAATAAAAAAACCAATAAATTTAAAGATTCCATTATTAAAAGAAAGAAAGAAATAGCCTCTTCTAGCAACATGCCTGAAGTATGTGAGACAAAGCTTTATCACCTTTGCCTCCAACGAGAACCCTGGTTGCACTTTCTCCAAGACATATATGTTAATTCTTTTGGCAGTCTTCGTTCAGTACTCTCCTTCAGCACCACAGCTCAAAAGAATCAATTCTTTTGTCATTCTTATTCATTGTCCAGCTCTCAGTGCATAACAAGTGATCAGGAAGACCATAGCTTGGATCGGGTGCACCTTACTCCTCAAACTGACATCGTTATTCCTTAGTAATTTGGAGAGGTCTCTAACTGCAGACTTTCCCAGTGCAATATATCACCTTATTGTCTGACTGCTGAAACCAAGGATATTAACTGAGAACCCAAGTAAGAGGGAGTTGTTGACAGTTTCAAACTTTTCTCTATCATGATGTTGCCTGTTGGTAAAACAGTAAGAGTTTTTATTTCCTTGATGTTGGAATACAATCCATACTGGAAGCTTTATTCTTCGATCTTTTGTAACAAGTGGTTCATGGTTCAAGTCCTCCTCACTTTCAGCAAGCAAGGTTGTGTCATCTGCATAAAACAGGTTACTGATGAGTCTTCCTCCAATCTTAATGCCACATTCTTCTTCGCAGAGTCCAAATTTTCAAGTAATTTGCTTAATATACAGATTTAATAGATATGGGGAGAGAATAAAATCCTGACAAACTCCTTTCTTAATGTTAAACCATGAAGTGTTCCCCTGGTCTTTGTTCACAATAGCTCATTTATGTTTTGGTCCAGTTTTGTGTTTTGTTTTGTTTTGTTTTGTTTTAATCCAACAGACTGAGCCTGTTGTTAGGAAAGACTATTTTATGGAAAAGGACCTGATGTTTAGAAAAGTACAGGGTTAGTGAAGGAGAGGAACACCCTCAATGAGATGGATTGATAGAGTGATTGCAACAATGGAATCAAGTATATCAGAGATGATAACGATGGACGAGGTTCTGACATGATGTTCACATGGTTGCTGTGAGTTGTATACCACTCAGTGGTGCCGAACAACAACAACAACAACTCCGTGTTTAATTAAAAGACTTTAAAAAAATGTAGCTTTTAAAGGGCCGAACTCGTTCAGCATTTCTTAAGCTTAAGGAACTGAAGAGCAAATTCAAACCTCGAGTTGCTACAATCAAGGATGCTTTAGGCAGAATGTTAAATGATCCAGGAGGTATCAAAAGAA